CATGACGTCAAAGAACTCGACTTAATGAATGTACGGTTTTTATACTCCGTCAGAGGCGGACCATGACGGTACAGTCTGTTCGTCCATATTTCAACTTACTCTTGTCTGGGCCAGAACTTCTGTCCTGCTCAAGATAATTCAACAAACCTTCACACACACATGCGTCATCACTAAACTTAGGTTTGCGTGGCCAGTTCATTCCTCCTAGTTCAAAATTAAGGTCACAAAGCAAGGTCCTCTTGTTTTTTATATAAAGATGCATCACCCATCTGTTTTAGACAGTACAGAATCCCTGTTTAACTCACAACATACAGTCCTAACTTAAACGTTCTTAATGTTGTTGATGCATAGATGACATCCCGTACACAACACCCCAATTTTTTGTCATCAGAAAATGATGAAGGACAACAACCTGGTTCGTCACCTGGATGCATGTGAAACGATGGGCAATGCCACAGCCATTTGCTCAGACAAGACCGGCACACTGACGATGAATCGGATGACGGTGGTGCAGGTCTACATCTCTGGACGGCACTACAACAAGGTGCCGGAGCCGGACCTCATCACCCCCAAGGTTCTGGACCTCCTCATCCTTGGCATCGGGGTCAACTGTGCCTACACCACCAAGATCATGGTGAGCTGCCAAAATCACTGTTTCATTCATACCATACCACTTTATTTATAGAGCACTTAAAACTGCTACGAGGCCAACCAAAGTGCTGTACAGACAGAACAACAGGTAACACACAAAGCAAAATACAAAATGAGGTAAATCAGAATATAGACAAAAAACGATGCAGATAATGACGACAAACCAGTGTGGAGCATACAGGATCAAAACACAGATCATCTGGTGTTGAAAGCTGCTGAATAGTAGTGAGTTTTTAAACAGGACTTGAAAACAGAGAGGGAGGGGGCCTGTCTGACAAGCAGAGGTAACTCGTTCCAAAGTCTTGGTCCTGCTACAGAGAAGGCCCTGTCACCTCTGCGCTTAAGACGAGTTCCTGGAACTGTGAGGAGTAACTGGTCCGCTGACCTCAGGGAACGTGGTGGGACATACGGTTGTAGCAGATCAGAGAGGTGGGGGGGGGGGGGGCTGTAATGAGTGCTGTGTAGACATACAGGAGTATTTTGAACTGGATTCGAAAGTGAACTGGTAACCAGTGCAGGGAGGCCAAAACTGGTGTAATGTGCTCTCTTTTGCCTGTACTGGTTAAAATGGGGCTGCTGCATTCTGGACCAGTTGCAGTCATGCAATGGAGGTCTGACTGATACCAAACAGGAGTGAATTGCAGTAATCAAGCCTAGATGTAATGAATGCATGTATTACTGTCTCCAGGTTATTTTTGGACAATATGGGCTTCAGTTTAGACAGCCGCCTCAGTTGGAAGAAGCAGGATTTAACGATCATGTTTACATGATTGTTAAGTTTCAGGGAAGGGTCCATTATTACTTCAGGAAGCTATGTGGCTTAAATACTTATCAGGCAGGTTTTGGAGCACTGCCACGGCGGCTCAGGGTTCATCTGATCAATGTCTCCTGGATTCAAAGTAGACAAAACAATTCCACTGGATCAGAGTGTAAGAAACCACTGCAGCCGTTTTCTTTTCATCTGGAGAGCATCTATGGAAATAAGTTAGTCAAATCTTATTATTCAGTTGTACCATCTCAATGAAAAACATGTTTCAAGTTTAGTTATGGGACAAAGCAGATAAAATTAAAAACATGTATTGTGCCTAATGTAGCCACTGGCTCGTCTCCATCGGTAAATACAGACTACTGAAACAGATCTGAAGCAAAACCATTGAAGATAAAGGCAAGTTTAAAACTGCTACTCGACTCTCTCACTATTTACTCACCACCTCTTTTATAAAAGTAATTTTAAAACTATGTACAATATAGAATGTGCCATGATCGACCATGACTGACTAATACAGTAGTCCCTCGATACTTGGCGGCTTCGCTCTGTCACGGTTTGTGGACGTCCAAAATCTTGCACAAAAACAGTTTTTTAATTTTTTACACACGACTGTGGACTGCACAGTAATATCACTGCACAGAACTCATGTGGATGTGAAAAGTTGATGACAAAAAATAATAATGTGGACAGGCACCACCATTTTGTAGTTTTCTTTCACTCAGCCACCACTGTCATCGCCACTCATGAGGACTACATTTCCCTCAGATCAATGCTGTGGTGCCTCTGCGCGCTGTTTTCTGACAAACACTCATTTTGCAAAGCGAAGTCATGACGGCTGAACCGGCCTAAAATTTTTTCATGTCACGTGCAATATTTTAAATGAAAATTCAACTTTACAAACGTAAACTTAAAAAGAAATTATAAATCAAGTGAGGACATGTGTCTTTTAGAACCGGGGCGTTGTGCTACGTGACCCAGGCGCTGATTGACAGTTACAGTACAAGACGTCTGTTTATCTCAACATTCATCGTGTTGTTGTTTCTAAATGTTCTGTGCGTTCAAAAGTTTTTGGCAGTGAAGCGAAACGTCAGTGGAAGATGCTGACGATTAAAGACAAAGTGTAACTTCTGGACAAACTTTAAGATGGCCGTACCTAAACGGATGTTGCCGGCCGCCTGCGGCGCGGTTGTTAAGATGGAAGCTGCGTTGGTCGTGTGGATTAATGAGTGCAGACAAACCATCACACCAACGGTGAAATAACTTCACTGTATGATCATCTCTCAGCAAGCAGCACCGAGGAAGAGACGTGGCCGTGTAACTGAGGAGCAGGGGGGGGGGGGGGGGTTGGACCTCGACCACCTGGTTCAACCACCGAACCACTGCACTGAGTGCCAGCAAGGGATGGTTCGACAAATTTCATTAAAAGTGTTTGTCTGCACGGAGAGGCTGCGTCGCTGACCGCAGGAGAGGAGGAGTTTGTTAACACGACGTTCAAAGATCTGATCACCTGAGGGGGTCTAAGGTCTGAACAAGGTTTTAACGTGGACCAGACTGACCTGTTCTGGCACTTTTAATACGAAGGACGAAGCCGAAGTCCCTGGTTTCATCTCATCTTCATCACCTTCAGCGTCATCACCGGACAGCTAATTCTTCTTCTCTTTATCATCTTCTCTGATGAATATCCTTCCATCCATCCATCCATCCATCCATCCATCCATCCATCCATCCATCCATCCATCCATCCATCCATCCATTATCTTTTACCCACTTCTTCCATTTTGGGTCACGGGGGTCGCCGGTGCCCATGTCCATCAATCACTGTGCGAGGGGCGAGGTACACCTGGACGGGTCTCCAGTCCATCACAGGGACACCTGGACGGGTCTCCAGTCCATCACAGGGACACCTGGACAGGTCTCCAGTCCATCACAGGGACACCTGGACAGGTCTCCAGTCCATCACAGGGACACCTGGATGGGTCTCCAGTCCATCACAGGGACACCTGGACGGGTCTCCAGTCCATCACAGGAACACCTGGACGGGTCTCCAGTCCATCACAGGGACACAAAGAGACAAACAAATATTCTCTCTCTCACCTCGGGACAGTTTAGAGTTACCATCAGTCTAACATGCATGTTTTTGGTCTGTGGGAAGAAACTGGAGAAGCCGGCGAAAACTCACAGCACGGAGAGAACATGCAAACTCCACCCAGAAAGGCCCCCAGACCGGGATTTGAACCAGGGACCTGCTCACTGAGAGGCTCTACCAGTTGCGCCACCATGCTGCCATTTAAAATGTATATTTTTTTAAAAGGTGTTAAAGTTTAGAAAATTGTTAGGAACATTGCAAGAGTGTGGGAAGGGTTTAAAACACCAGTACCTGTACATAAATGCTAAAATAAACTACTACTACTTGTGTACATAATTTCATTCCATCTCATGTACCACATGAGGTGGTAATGACAATAAGTTTACTTGGACTTGAACTACTATCCCCACTTTACAGTTTTTCACTCATGGCGGGGGGTGGACCCCAACACCCGCAGTAAACGAGGGACTACTTTGTTAAATAATGATGAGTGCACTGGCTACAAACAATGTTTTCTTCTCTTTTCATGTTTGCGACCTGTCAGGAAGTGTCGCTCACTTCTTAGTGACCTTGAATGACCTCGTCCCCTGCCTGATCAAAGCTGCACGGGTGGGCGGAGCCAGGACCAGAGGGACGTGTAGTAATAGATCTGAGACAACGTGGTCACGACCAAAAGCATCCCTCAGTCGTCCCCAGGAGCAGAGTTTATAGCTGCATTATATTTCCGTGCATTAGTCAACGCTGTGCTTTGATTTTTGAACCCCAATGTTGGATCAAAAATCCTAAACATTTAACTTCCTCTACAGAACGTTTGGCAAACTCTGGTTTAAATTTCCTTTAAAGACATTGTGAGAGAGTCTTTAAACATTGAGTTTCAGTTTCATGTAGGCTCCACAAAGACAGAACTTTTAAAGTCAGTTTCTTGTTTTGTGTTAGTTTAAAAACTAAAGTGAATAAATCCCTCAGAGCAAAGTCTAAGAGTGAAGCTGTTGCTTTGCCCTCGCTCTGTCACGAGCTGTGGGTAGTGACTTTCAAAATGAGGCTCAACTACAAACAGCTGAGACGAGCCTCCTCCTCCGACGTGAGGGTAGACTCGCTCTTGGGACTAGGTGAGGAGCTCAGCTGTTTTGGGGAGCTCAGAGTAGATTTCACTTCTTTCACATCTAAAACAACTAGTGGTGGTTTGGGCGTTTGGAAAAGATTCCTTCTGGACTTCTCTCTAGATGATGCACCTCTCTATGAGAACAGCTCAGAGAAATGATGGTTTTGTCTCTCGTCAGGATACGAAGAGGTGGGCTTGTATTGGATTACCTCTCCATCCATCTGTGCATGTTGTTAGCATGACAACATGAAAAATAAGTGAGGTACCAACTTCCATTAAGAAAGGTCACCATCAAAAATTGGGTTGCCATATCAAAATCCAAGATTGCTGCCACCTTATTACATATACATGAGTAAACTATGCTTTCTAATTTATATAGCTTAGTTGAGTTTGCTCAGCTTCTCCCTTCTTCAGGGGTTGCCACAATGAGTGAACTCACATGGAAGATTTGGCTATTGTTTTGCACTGGATGCCCTTCCTGACGCAACCTGGGCTCAAACCCGCAACCTCAGGATTACAGGACCACGACGCTGACCACCGAGCCACCACAGCTCCAAGTTGCTTATATGATTGGGGGGTGCAAAGATTAATCTGTGGTGGTCAAGGCCACCATTGCACCTTGTCGGGGATAAAATTGCTCCCTCCTCTCAGCAGAATCCATCACCCTAAACTGCCTTGGATAAGAAAAAATAAAATAAAATAAAATAAACCTCCCTCTGTTCCTCTCCAGTGTAACTCCTACCCACTTGGATATTTTGCACCAAAAACATTTAGGTTTAATTCTTTCCCTGTTCACTTCCAGTCCAGAAAAACACTCGTCTCCAAAATTACATTCACTGTTCAACGCCCTCAGAGACGGGGACATCAGCGTAAAGCTTGTACATCTTGCACCAGAGTCCATGCTCAATTATCCAGGTATAAAATCCAACAAAGTTCAGTCAGGTCGTCTGAGTGGTTTGTTTTTTTAGCTGAGACATTTCGTCCATCGTGTACATCTTACTTCTGAATAGCTGTTGGCAGAAGATGGAAGGACTCATCAATGTAAAGCAGTTTTGATATTGAGGCCAATATTTTGTAATGTTTAATGTTTTGAGACATTTGTCCTTCATATGTGTGACTAACCTACACTCAGGTACAGTCCATAGGTCAGAGACAGATCTCACTTCTGTTAGGAACCTTTACCAAACTGTGCAAAACCCCCCAAAAGGTTGACTGAGCTTTAGGAACTTTGATGGACCTTGTTTCCTGTAACACAAACACAAACATGTTTAGATCATTTCTACAGCAGTTCAATGGATTTTTAAACCTCCTTTGGTCTGAAAATGCCTGAAGTCTCTGTACAAAAGTTCAACTTCACAAAAACATGTAACACCTAATCAAAGGTGCTCTGGGTGAGAATCTTTAGGCACCTCACAGTTTGAGTCAGTTATATTTCACTGAGCTGTGATGTCATAATAAACGAATTAACAGCAACAAACAGATGGAGGGACATTTTAATGACATTACCTTTTTGTGTTAAAACATTAATGCGTCCTTAAAAACGTAAAACCTATGCTTTCTGCAGCCACCAGACAAGGAAGGGGGTCTGCCTCGTCAGGTGGGAAACAAGACAGAATGTGCCTTACTGGGACTCAGCCTGGACCTGCGTCGAGACTACCAGACCATCCGAAACCAAATCCCAGAGGAGAAACTTTTTAAAGTTTATACCTTTAACTCTGCGAGGAAGTCCATGAGCACCGTGCTGAAGAACAACGATGGAAGCTACCGAATGTTCAGCAAAGGGGCCTCTGAGATCCTGCTTAAAAAGTAGGTTCACTGTTTCTGCTTCTCCTGTCAGTCAGACCGGGACTACAGGGCTCTGGTCCCATTTCAGGTGCTGCAAGATCTTGACCACAAGCGGTGAGGGCAAGGTCTTCAAATCTAAAGATCGAGATGAAATGGTGAAGAAAGTGATTGAACCAATGGCATCAGAGGGGTTGAGGACCATCTGCCTTGCCTACAGAGATTTTCCAACCACTGAGGGAGAACCCAACTGGGACAACGAAGCAGAGATCCTCACTGGACTTACATGCATTGCTGTTGTTGGTATTGAGGACCCTGTAAGACCTGAGGTATGTCATCCTCTCAAACAAACAGCTACAATAGACACATGTAGACCATAAGGTAATTACGCCCATCCAGAAAGCTTTATCATAATTCCCTTTTTTGTTGTTGTTCCTTTTAGGTACCAGAGGCCATCAGAAAGTGCCAGAGGGCTGGGATCACTGTCCGCATGGTCACAGGAGACAACATCAACACTGCCAGAGCCATCGCCACCAAATGCGGCATTTTGCAACCCGGAGAAGACTTCTTGTGTTTGGAGGGGAAAGAGTTCAACCGACGGATCCGTAACGAGCTGGGCGAGGTCAGACAAACTAAGACAGATGTGATCATGCCTGTTCAGGATACTCCACTGTGTCTTGCAAATAAAATGTCAAATATCTTGACAAAGTATGCCTGAAAGTATATTTGTCACATTACAACCACAAACTTCAAAGTATCTACTGGGATTTCATGGGACAGGCTGTTGGATTAAAATATCCTTGCATTATCCATCCATCCATCCATTCATCCATGCATCCATCCATCCATCCATCCGTTATATTTACTCGCTTCTTCCTTTTCGGGTTGCGGGGGCCGCTGGTGCCCATGTCCAGCTATCACTGTGCGAGAGGCAGAGGATACCCTGGACAGGTCTCCAGTCCATCACATGGACACAAACGAGACAAACAACCATTCTCTCGCTCTCTCACCTAGGGACAATTTAAAGTTACCAATCAGTCTAACATGCATGTTTTGTTTTGTGGGAGGAAACCGGAGAACCCGGAGAAAACCCATGCAGCATGGAGAGAACATGCAAACTCCACCCATAAAGGCCCTTGGACCAGGATTTGAACCGGGGCGATCTGCTCGCTGAGAGGCAGCAGCTCTACCAACTGTGCCACCGTGCCGCCTCTTTGCATTATCTACTTACTCAAATAAGCCTCACTCGACGACAGGAGAAGATTTTTTGATCGGTCTTCACTTGCAAGGACAGACACAGAACAGGCTGCACAGAAGATGCACAGAAGTTCTACAATGTGTGGAGCCCAGTCACGAGTCTGCTCGGAGGGTGTGAGAGAAATGTTTATATAATTACACATTTCTCAGCTACCGCAGGCAGAAGCAGGTCACGATGACCTTGGCTTCCCAGCTTACAGACTCATAGGCAACCAGGCATTACCAGCTGCACATGCAGTTATCACATCTCACCTCATTCATCTCTGCTAATTCAAACACATGGTTCATGGGCAGTTTGTAGACAGTTAACATTAGTCAGTGACAAACATCCTTGACCTTGACCAAAATTCCCCTGACACAGGCCAACACAAAGTAGTGCATTGCTGTGAAGTGGAAGGAAACTGATGAATGATGCAGGACTGTCATATCTGAGCAGAGCAGCTTCTTCTACCTGTTTGCACTGTTCTGATTTGTAGCATGCATGAATTATAGTTGTCCTGTGGACAGATTCTCCTGCCTGAGCTGTGGATTTCTGCAGATACTTCAGAGTGGTACTTCTTGGCAGCTTCTCAGACTAATGCTCTCTTTGCCTGGTTTGTCAGTTTAGAGGGCGTCCATGTTTTAATAGGTTTGTAGTTGTGTCAGACACTTTCCAGTTTCAGGTGATGATTGAACAGAGGCTCCATTAGATGTTCAAAGCTTGTTTTAGAACCTGGTCCTGCTATAAACAACAACCCGACCTGTCTAGTGTTTTCCTTCATTTTCATGATGCTTTATGATCACTAATAGTTTGTAACAAACCTCTGAGGCTCAGAGAAAAGCTGGATTAATACGGAGATTAAATTATGCATGGGTGGACTATAATTAGGTGACTTCTGCAGGTAACTAGTTGTTCTGGATTTTAGCTTGAGGTGTCAGAGTCAAGGCGGTAAAATGAAAGTTACGACTGTAACTACAGTTCTATGAATCCTGGATGACCGCCAAAGGCGGTGCTTAAAGCACTGAATGATCATTCTTGTGCATGCACAGGTCGAGTATCTTATGCCAACATGGTCACATGTGACCCCCGGTGACAGTGATGAGTCTATGTTCAAGTATTCAAGGATTCAAGGTTCTTTATTTGTCATTCCACCACATGTGGTACATGTAGTGGAATGAAATTATGTTCACAGGGTCCCAATTACATCCATCAATAAAATGTAAAAGAAAGACAGTAATAACATCTAAGATATGAACTAAGAAAAATATCAACTAAATATACACAAAGAACTAGTAGCATAAAAACATTACGTCGAACAGCAGCACGAACATGAGTCTGAGTGAGCAGGTGAGCACGCATGAACACAGCAACATGAAACAGATCAGCAGCAACATGAAACAGATCAGCAGCAACTTGATGTGATTTTCCACAGTGATTATTCTGGTTAGAGATTCATGAGTCTAACAGCTTCACGGTAGAAGCTGTTCCTCAGTCTAGTGGTTCTACACTTAATGCTCCTC